TATGGTAATGCTGAAAAATGAAATATAAAGATGATCAACTTGGAAGAAAATGTTTACCAACATGACCAAACTGGAAAATTTAAAAATGCCCAAGAGTACTCAGTAAACAAGAAAAAAGCAAAATAAAGTAATCTTGTAATAGAAAGATCTGCATGGATGTTATGAGTAGGCATTTTACATAAATGGGCAAGTCTGAAAAGGCTCCTGTACAGTTCCATGATTTGACATTCCAGAAGGGACAACACATAGAAACAGTAAAAAGATTAGTGGTTAACAGGAGTTGACGGTAGGACTAAGCTAGAGACAATATGGGGCATAGGATTTTAGGACACTGTAACTGCTCTGCATGAACCTGACAGTGGACAGTGGATACCACAATATACATTTTGTCAAAATCTGAACTAGAAGCCTCTGGGATAATTGGGACTACAGACCTGCACCACAGCACTGCACCTGGCTCATTTTACGAAAAAATAAAGTATTGATACTAAATCATCAGCTATAACAAATGTATAACCCCACTCATGATTCAGAAAAACATCAGCAGACTGACATACCTGGGTCTGGGGTCATGGAAACACTGTCACATTCCCCATCTGGCACCTTAGTTAGAAATCCGAGCCCCCTTGTGAGGTGCCCCCAGAACCCCCTCATGGCATCCTTTACGCATCTCAGCCTATTTGTTACATCCTTTTATCAGACGACTCTCTTTCCCAATTAAAAGGTTTCAAATTCTATGAAGGATGAAACCCAAACCTGGTACAGCACTGTTAGGTCTTTCGTCAGTCTCAGTATTTACCTTCATTCTTGGCTCTGGAAGTGAAACTTGTTACTGGTCCTCCAGAAGCCTTGCTCAGGGCACCCATGCAGTCTCCTAAACCCCTTGACTGACCTCTATGACTCCTCAAAGCCCGATTACACTACCACCATGGAAATTCCTCCTCATCCCCTGAGACTTTCCCCTCAATGAATAACAGAAATGGCACCTTGACAACACAATAAACATGACTTCTGCTTTGCCATCACTTCAGTTTCCCAGGCATTGAACACAGACCCCTTTTACTGCTACCAGTTACTCTATGGATTGTTCCTCAAAGGAGCATCTGGGGTCCTCAAGGCTAAGAAGTGCCTCTTATACCCCCATCCCCAAAGCTGAAGTCAAGAGACAAAATACTAGATGAGGAAAAGGGCCAGAAAAGCAGGCCCAGGTAAGCAGGAAGCTGCCTTTGGAAATCCTTCAGGAAACAGAGGAGAGAAAGTGTCTGTGGGGGCAGGACTGGTCTCCACAGCATCCAGCTGAGAAGCATCAGGCAATGACAGGAGCACCCAAAGACCATACTACATCCAAATTGTAAGAAATGAAATGACTTTTCCGGCAAAGGAAGGAAGATACCAGGAAGTCAGATGGCTGACCCTGTGTGCTCCCTCAGTCTGGGACTGCTCTCCCCCTAAACCTGAAGCCTCACCCTCTTAGCTCATGAGCTAATTCCTAGAAGACAGAAGCACACAGGAATGTCACATCCTACCCCCACCACTGAACAACACCCAGAACACCTGCAGCGCAAGCCTGCAACGTGTCCCCTCTCACTGACTCAAGGACCCGCCACCATCCAGCCGTGTACCCCTCTCCTACATGCATCAAAGATTCTCCTTTTTTAGTGGATCATACACTTTTTTATTCCTCCCATCAAAACAAAACCAAACAAAAATCCTATTTTGACCTCAACTCCTAACTCTAGTTACTGGCCAATTTCTCTTTTCCCCAAAAAATTTTGGGTCCAAATTCCCCACTTAAAAAAAAAAAAAAAAACAAACTCAGGAATATACCAAATCAAATTCTACCACTCTCTCTTAAATCAAATCAGATCCAGCTAAACAAATTCTCAAGGAGTCAGAGGATCTCCCCAGAATTGAATCCTATGGCCAGTTCAGTCTTTAGGCTTAACTAACTATGAGTAGAATTTGACATAGTTGCTTTTCCACCCACAAACCTTTCATTTCCCTGGTTTCTGAAACTTCATGCTCCCAGTTCTCACTCTTGCCCCACCCAGTCCCTCCTTCGGTAGTAGACTTTGCATATGGGAGAGTCCTGGGCTCACCCCCTTGTCCACCTCCCAACACAGCTTTCTATGCTGACTCCCAGTCCAGTCTGTCTCCTGACTCCCAGTCCAGTCTGTCTCCTGAAGTCCCAACACATGTCCTGCACTCTTGCTATTGCCACTTTACCTCATGCTAACAGAATCAATTAAAAATGGCTAAAACCTAATTTTCTCAAACCTGATTTTCCCACCATCTCCCCATTTCCAGTTTAACAGAAACCTTGTTTTCCTAGTCACTCAGGGAGCCTCTGAAGAGCTTTCCACATGCACACAGCCTGATCAAATTAAAGTTTCAGGAGAAATACTCAAGGCAGAAAGTGCATTTGAGCCAGTGAAGGAAAGATGTAGAAGCAGAGAAAGGGAGTTTCTCCAAGAGTCCCAAAACACTCTCCTGCAAAATGTGATAAGGGTGGCAGGGAGAGAGTAAGGAGAAAGGATAAAAATCACTTAGAATATGAAATTAACATGCTGGAACAACTGCACAAGGCAACAGAGATGGAGAAATTTAAGGGATCCCATTTTTTCTGGACAGGGTCACAGGCTGGACAATGCCTCAATGAAGAAATAGGGACGAGAATAGGAGACATAGGTGGGGGGGGGGGCAAAAATGATGATTTGGGGATCCACCGCATCTATAAGCTTGAGGTACCCTCTGGACACACCCCAGGGAGATTCTCTGAAGGCAGCTGGACAGAGGCATCTGATCCTCTTGGGGAACAAACATGGACTCATGGTTAAAGCACTGGACGGTGAGATTAGACAGGAGTAAGGAGAGTCAAAAGCTATAAGCAAAAGAAAAATATGTGAAGAAGGCAGGAGAACTCCTCAGATTCAAAATAGAGGGCAACAAAATAAATGGAATAAAAAATGACAGGGGAGACTGCAGAGTGTCTAAGACAATGAAGGGCAATTAGCCCTGGGTGTGCATGTTAGAAATACCCAGTGTACATTAGGTCACGGGCAACCTTCACCAGAACAGGATGAGGGAAGTGTCAGGCACAGAATGGAGACCGTGGGAGGCAGGATAAAATGGGAATGGAAAATGAGGACACCTCTGCCAGGGATTTCTACTGCATTGTCTGATGTGCAACCCAGTCCAACCTGCAGAAAGAACTGCTTAGACTCACTTAAGGGTGAAGCCATTCCTCCAGCTGATCCAGGCTTTATCCCTGCATGGAGCAAAATGTCCGTATGGCAAAGTTTTAGTCACCAGAAAGATCGTGTGTGCTGAGTTCTTCCTGGGCACTATGCTGTCTGCTCACATGACAGAAAAGTAAGGTATCAGTGGCAGCAGCTTACAGGTTGTTATTTGGGAAGGTTATTCACAATTATCAAAGAAATCTTTAAAATCCACGAGAAAGGAAACATCTCACTTATGGTCAATGTAAGTCAAGGAATGTACGATATTTATAATTTTTTTGCCAAAAATAGGAGGCATACATGTACTTTGACTTTAAGAACTCTTTAGGGATCATGCTATCTGCACATATGAATATAGCAAAACTGCTGAGTGCTGATTGCTACCATTTTGATTATATCTTGACTCTTTCTATTTTCATGTTTTGAAGTTGCAACTCTTATTTGCCTCAGAAGGAGTAAACAAAAGGACAGAATAAACACATGAACAGAAAAACTCACCAAGGATTTACTCATGTTCTGCTGCTCTTGGAAAAATATGGAGAATTGTGAAAGCAGAGGCGGATCTGGGAAAGAAAAATGCAAGCAGCGTCATTATAAGTTATCTGACCTGTCACAGCAGGAATCTCCTGCATAAAAACCTACCCAGAAAATTCTGAGGACACTCTATGGAAGACTGTCTCATTAGGCCTTTTCAGAAGGAATTGGAAAATTGGAAAATACTCAGAATGGTGCCTACCTATATGTTCGCCAACCCACACATAATTAGTGGTGAATAAGTGTGAATTAACATCAAATTTAATTGAAATAATGTGCTATCCTTAAATGTAAGCTTAAAAAAAAAAGAAATTCTGCTATAGAAAACTCATTTACTTTCTTACTTTTCAAACAACTTAAGATCAGAAAATTCATGAAATTCTCTGACTAAAGAAATACAGTCACCATGGTTGGGACTTTAATCATACAAATGTGAGTGGCCTGCTCAAAAAGATCCTATTAAGAAATGTACTGTAACTTAATACAGTGGAAGGAGCCAGGCCTTGAAGTGTCTAAAAACACCCGGGTAACCTTTGTCAAATCATCCACCATGTCCTCCTCTATCAAACGAGGCAGTAAAAGGCTTTTCTGGATTCACACTGCGTGACTCTACAAAGGCAGAACTAAGAAGCAAACTGTAAGGAACAGCGTTGCTGATGGACCTTTAGAGACATCTGGAGCACTACGAGGAGGAGGAGGAAAGGGAGTCGGGGTGGAGAAAGGAGTGCAGCCAGAAATCCCAGATGAGGCCGGTGTCCACTCCTCCTCAGGTACACTGTCCTCAAAGACCCACCCACCGAGCGCCTTGTCCCTCCTAGAGCTGCACAGCAACGACCCGGGCGCGGGCGGTTCCCGTGGGTCTCTGCAGATCCGGGATCCCCGCCCTCGCCCTCGCCAGGCCTTTCGGTTCCTAAGGAGTCGGGGCTGGACCTAACGCACAACCTCGGGCAGCGCCTCCCTCCGGGACCCAGATCCGCCCCTCAGGACTCACCGTGCCGCGGAGCGCCGGCCCGGATCGCGCAGCCCCTCTGCCGCCACTGCTGCTGCTTGACCCTCGGGCCCTCCGCCGCGAGCTCGGTCCTCGAGGTAGCGGTCGAGCCAGGGGGGACTCCGGGACACACAGCCTGCGCCCTTCGGCGATCACCCAGCAGACTCCGCGGTCCTAGTCACCAGAGGCCCTAGACAGAAAACCAGGGCGGTCACCTGGACGGACAGGAAGCCAGGGCGATGCCGCGGCGAGGCGCATGCGTGAACACGCACTCAGGGAGAACCGCACATGCGCAGGACGCCGCCGGAAGCCCGCGGATCCCTGCTCGGACTCTATTTCCCAAAAGTCTGTGCGCCGCCGGATTTAGGGAACGATGCAAAGGTCTCTGCCTCGTCCTGCAGTTAAGAGGTGCTGTGCTATGAGCCCTGGCCGCCGCGAACCCCGCGCTCAGTTTCGCATTTGTCTCCGGTCCCTTTCGGCTTCTAGCAGCCGGTTGTGTGGTTGGTCCCGGGAGCCCAGGTCCTCTCTTCCACAGAGCCTTCGGTTGGGACCAATGTTCTGACAAACCGAAGAAGGGTGTGTCCTGCAGAAGTTTTCTCAAAGGCTAGGCTACAGCAGTTGTCCAGCGATGCTGTCCAAGGAAGGGAAAGAAGACAGAAACCGTAGCTTTTCCAGATCGCACAAGTAATGTGCCCAAACTGCAAAAAGACAGCGCACACCAACTGAAAGGAACCACCTGTGACTGTGCCTGTCCGAGAAGATCACGTTTAGAGTTAGGTACAAATGTCCGTCCTCGAAAAGGAGACCATAAGCACAATGGGTTCTCACT